CTCTGGCCTGGGCAACACAGCAAGACTCCATTTCTATAAATATCTATATCTATCTATATCTATATATAGATAGATATATATATGAAAAATAGGCTAGGCGCAGTGGCTCACACCTGTAATCCCAGCACTTTGGGAGGCTGAGGCAGCAGATCACCTGAGGTCAGGAGTTTGAGACCAGCCTGACCAACATGGTGAAACCCCGTCTCTACTAAAAATGCAAAAATTAGCTGGGCATGGTAGCACACGCCTGTAATCCTAGCTACTTGAGAGGCTGAGGCAGGATAATTGCTTGAACCCGGGAGGCAGAGGTTGTGGTGAGCCAAGATCACGCCACTGTACTGCAACCTGGGCAAAATTCTGTCTCAAAAAAAAAGAAAAATATTTTAGTTGAGTATAGAATCCTAGGTTGGCAGGGTTTTTTGTTTGTTTGTTTTGCTTTGTTTAGCACAATTAAAATATTATTCCATGGGATTTTTGTTTCCTGTAGAAGTCTATAACTGTTGGTCTTTTAAATAAAAAGTCCATTGGCTGCTTTTGAGATTTTCTTTTTGTGTGTGGTGTTCGATAGTTTGAGTACCATATGTTTTGTGTAGATTTTCTTTCATTTATCCTTCTAGCAATCAGGTTTCTTGAATCTGTGCATTGGTGTTTTTTTTTTCAGTTGTGCAAATCCTCAGCTATTTTCTCTGTAAATAGCTACCCCCATTTTGTCTCATCTCTCTTTCTCTATCAGAACATCTTATTATATCTTTCATGTTTCTTAACTTCTCATTCATATTTTACATCTTTTTGTCTCCTTGTGCTACATTCTGGATAATTTCTCGTGATTTATCTTCTGTTTCCTGGTTAACTAATTATTCCTTAATCTGTGTCCAACCTGCTACCATTTATGTCCACTGAATTTTTAATTTCAGATACTGAGTTTTTCTTCTCTAGAAATTCTATTTGGTTGTTTTTCAAATCAGCTAGTGATGGCAGAGGCTGCTGCCACCACTCCGGCTGTCACTCCAACTGCAGCAAAGAGGCGCGGCTGGGGCTGCACACTCCATAGAGCCGGTGGAAGCCCGGCCCCTTCTGAGTTAAGGCGGGAGCTCCTCGGGTGCTACTGCAGCCTCCTGCACCACGGCCGTAGACCCCGCCTCCGGCTGTACGCAGCAGGCAGGAGCCCCGCCCTCTTCGGCGGGCCGCAGCTGCCCAAACTGTGGCTGTGGATCCAAGCTTCCCTGTGCTCTTGGAGGAGGGCCGGGAATAGGCAGGATCTACCCTCCCAGGTGCAGCTGCAGCTGCCAAGACCCACGGCTGCAGACCTGGGCCTCCCACTTCACTGAGCAGGCAGGAGCCGAGGACTAATAGGAGCTCCCAGGTGCAGCTGCGGCTGCCCTCCCAGGTGCAAGACCCGGGCGTCTCTGCAGCCTGCACCCTCGGGGGCCCCAGAAGGACCCGCTCCCCGGCCTCCTCCCATCCCTGCAGGCTCCGGAATGTCTGCTCCCGCTGCCTGGTCTCTCTCCAATCCCGGCACCTGTTCAAATCTCGGAGCCGGATTGGGGCAGACCCTTGAGGGGCCACGAATGGCAGCGGAAGGCATACTGATTCCTGGGTGGAAGAGGGCGGGTCCTTAGTAAGGCCCCACTGCAGGCCAGGGAGAGCCTGAAGGCTGGGGCCAGGCCGCCAGTCCTGCAGACCTGAGTGGGAACTCGTGGTGCCTCTTCCAGCCTGCCCATGGCCGCCCATGGACCAATCTGCATGCACTTCCTCCCCTCTGAGGTCCATGAAAGACCTGGGCTTAGCCAGAGCAGGGCAGAGGATGGCTAGAGGATGAAGAGGGCAGAGAGATGATAGGACGACCAGCTGCAAAGAGGAGCTATCCTCTCTGCTAATAGCAGGAGACAATGGGAGGACCAGCTACAGAGAGGAACTACCCTCTCTTCTGAGAGCATCAGAGACCTGCAGAGACGTCAGGACTATCAGCTGCATAGAGGAGCAGCCCTCTCCAGGGCCTTCTCCCTGCTGAGAGCAGCAGATAGTGGCATGACTTGCCTACAGAGAGGAGCTACCCACTGCGAGTCTTCTTTGAGCTGATGAGCACTTAAAGCTCATCTTCATCTTGTTTACCCTTCTCTTGTCTGTGTACCTCATCTTGGACACAGAACAAGAACTCAGGCAAAGGTGCCTCTGGCCACAGAGGTTTCTAGCCTTTTTGAGGGACTTCTCAAAAAAAAAAAAAAAAAAAATTCCACTTACATGACATAACCAGAGTAGTCAAATTAATAGAAACAGAAAGTAGAATGATAGTTTCCAGGAGCTGGGGCAGGGGGAAATGGGAATTTGTTGCTTAATGGGTGTACAGTTTCAGTTTTGCAAGATGAAAGAGTTCTAGAGATTGTTTGTACAACAAACTGAATATACTTAACACTACTAAACTGTCTACTTAAAAATGGTTAAGACATAAAATTTTATCTTGTGTATATTATATATCTGTGTATTATATGTGCATGAATTACACTACAATAAAAGTAAAACAAAAATTTTAAATAATGCAAAAATATAGTAACCATAGTTGTTTTATGATCAGATACTACTGCGGTTCCGTTTTGCTATCTGTTGTTTCAGCTGGTTCTCACAATGCCTTGTTCCTTACGTGCTTGGTTATTTTTCACTATATACTTGTCCTTGTCCCTGAAAAACTGCTGATGAAAATTCATGGAGAATGAAGACCAGCATAAAAGTACAATCCTCCAGAGACGGTTTGAATTTGCTTCTGCCAGACACTTAGACACACTTTCAGTTTAGGACTACTTTAAACTAGATTTATAACTTAAGGTTAAAAAAAAAATACTTCATGTAATATGGACTATAAATCTACCAAAAAAAAAAAAAAAAAAAGGCCAGTTATGATTACAATGTCTCAAGGAGAGTTTTCTCCCTACCTGCTCAGTGTAGTTAACAAGCCAACTTTTCTTGGAGTTTCCTGGCAGAAAGATGTAGGGGAGGTTTACTTCTGATTCACCTTTCCCCAAATCGTAGGCCTCTGGGGATGCTCACAACAAATACAGGAAAGACTCCTCACCTTGGTGGACCCTGAGCTTTGATTTCATTCTTCTTTACCCTGCATTGCTGTCATAATGAAATCCAAGTTTGCCTAGATTGGCAAATAACCTCAGAGCAAAATTTACTTCCTTCCACTTGGGCAGCACTTCTATACTTTATATTTTTAAACTATTTTGTGCAGCATTTTAAGTTGCTTTTTAGCAACATGTCAGCCCAAATAACCTAACCAGTCAGAAGTCCCTCTACTTTATTTCCTGTTTCATTGACTTATGCTTTTCTATTTATTTTCTTCCTCCTACTTTTGTATTGTTGTTATTTTCCCTCTAACTTCTTGAGTTGAATACTTAGCTCATTATTGCATTTTCTTTTCTATTATAAGGCTAGTCTACCTTAAGGCTCTAAATTTCCTTTACAGTATACATCTTTCATTGTAATCCATATTTTGATATGTAGTAGAGAAGCGATTGCCCGAAGCCAGTTGGCGTCCACCTGTTTTTATCATCTCCACCCAACAGGGTTCTTGTGCTGCCCTGGTTATATTCTGAAACATCTGCACTCAGGTCTGAACGAGTACAGGCAATTTTCACCATCTGGGCAGCAATGGTAGCCCAAGGCAATGCTAGGAGAATTAACAGCATAATTTTTTTTCTTTTTTCTTTTTTTTATTTTTTTGAGACGGAGTCCCGCTCTGTGGCCCAGGCTGAAGTGCAGTGGCGCGATCTCAGCTCACTGCAAGCTCCGCCTCCTGGGTTCATGCCATTCTCCTGCCTCAGCCTCCGAATAGCTGGGACTACAGGCACGCACCACCACGCCCAGCTAATTTTTTGCATTTTTAGTAGAGATGGGGTTTCACCGTGTTAGCCAGGATGGTCTCAATCTCCTGACCTCGTGATCTGCCCCCCTCGGCCTCCCAAAGTGCTGGGATTACAGGCGTAAGCCACCACACCCGGCTTCTTTTTTTGATACAGGGTCTTGCTCTGTCACCCAGGCTGGAGTGCAGTGGCACGATCTCAGCTCACTGCAGCCTTGACTTCCTGGGCTCAAGTGATCCTCCTACCGCAGCCTCCCAAGTAGCTAAAACTATAGGCATGCACCATCACACCTGACTAATTTTTGTAGAGATGGGGTTTTACCATGTTTCCCAGGCTGGTCTTGAACTGCTGGACTCAAGCAGTCTTCACACCTCAGCCTCCCAAAGTGCTGGGATTACAGGCATGAGCCACCGTGCCCAGCTAAGAGCATAATTTAAGCCATCTTTTTCTAACTCAGCTTTTTCTAACACTGGCTACCTATGAAAATTAGTAGGAAGTTTTGAAAAATACTGCTGCCTGGGTCCCAACCAGAGAATGTTGTGATTGGTCTGGGGTGGGGCCTGGACTTGAGTACTTTTGGTGATTCTAAGGTGAATCCAGGGTTGAGAACCACTGCTGTAATTTTTTTTTTTAAGACGGAGTCTTGCTCTGTCGCCCAAGCTGGAGTGCAGTGGCGCGATCTCGGCTCACTGCAAGTCCGCCTCCCTGGTTCACGCCATTCTCTTGCCTCAGCCTCCTGAGTAGCTGGAACTACAGGCGCCCGCCACCGCGCCCAGCTAATTTTTTGTATTTTTAGTAGAGACGGGGTTTCACCGTGTTAGCCAGCATGGTCTCGATCTCCTGACCTCGTGACCCGCCCGTCTCGGCCTCCCAAAGTGCTGGGATTACAGGCGTGACCCACCGCGCCCAGCCCCACTGCTGTAATTTTATTTGGTCATTGCCACCGACTTGACTGAATCCTCTCTCTTCCCCACCCGCAATCCATTTTAAACAGCCTCTGTCTTCCCAAGACTATAGTTTCTTGGTTTTCATATTGCTGTCTATGTTTCTCCAAGGTGGACTGGGAAAGGAGGCAGAACCCTGGTAATTTACCATGTTGGCAGGAACTAGAATTCCCCCTCATGTTGTCTGTCTTCACAGGAGGTCTCGGCGTGAAACAGCAGCAGTGGTGTGGGATGACTGCCAAAATGGGCACCGTGTTGGCAGGGGTCTTCACCATCATGGCCGTACACATGTATCTCATCTTTGAACATAATCACCTAGGGCATGGCAATTGCAGTGAGATCGCACTAAAGTACGAGAGTGCAAGTGGCATCATAAATGACTTCATCATCTGCTGGAGTTTTAAAATCGTCCTCTTCCTCTCTTTCATCACCATCGTCATCAGCTGCTTCCTCCTGTACTCAGTGTATGCCCAGATCTTCAGGGGCCTGATCATCTACATTGCCTGGATTTTTTTCTATGAAACCGTAAACATCGTAATACAAATCCTCACCAATGACGACTTCAGCGTTACAGAGGTCAGAATCATGCGCTGGTTTGGCTTGGTGTCTCGTATCATCATGCACTGTTTCTGGATGTTCTTTGTCATCACCTATGCCCACATAACCTACAAAAACCAGAGCCAGGGCAATATAATTTCCTACAAGAGACGAATTTCTACAGCGGAGGCTCTCCACAGCAGAAATAAAAGATTATCAGTTTTGGATGGGCTCAGTGGCTCATACCTGGAATCCCAGCGCTTTGGAAGGCAGAGGTAGGTGGATCGCCTGAGGTCAGGAGTTCAAGACCAACCTGGCCAATATGGCAAAACCCCATCTCTACTTTAAAAAGTAGAAAATTATCCAGGTGTGGCAGCACACGCCTGTAATCCCAGCTACTTGGGAGGCTGAGACTGGAGAATCACTTGACCTGGGAGGTGGAGGTTGCAGTGAGCCGAGATCACACCACTGCACTTCAGCCTGGGTGACAGAGTAAGACTCTGTCTTAAAAAAAAAAAGAAAAAAAAAATTAGCAGCTTTATTCACCACTATAAGCAATCATGTTGGCCCTTTTCTTTTCCCTGAGAGGTAGGTATCTCAGGTTCCCGGCGTAGTTCTATTTCCTTTTCTTCCCCCTACTTTTGCTTAGCAGTTCTGCAAGTAGAAACCCTACTGCCACTCTTTCAGGAGAACATGGAGAGAAAATGTGATTATAATCACAACTGGAACATCCTGCTCATTGAGGGTATTTAGTTAAAGGATATTGTGATTTATCAAACCTTCTGTGAACTCCACCTTTCTACCACCTGATGGGTCAAAATGAACGGAGTAAGATGAAGCTGAATTGCAGTATGGCAATCCTTTTTTCTTGGCATCTTCATTAGCCTTCAACCCACAGCTCTTTAACCCTGGGATAAGCAAATCTGTATTTATACCTCAGATTTTTGTAGCACAAAGGATGTTGTTGGTCCTGGGGTGGGTTTGTGCTATGATTTCCCCACTATTCTTCTGTTTTTTTCCAGATAAGAAAAATAATAAAAATAGAGAAAATTCGTCTGTCTTGAATTTCCCCACCCTTCCCAAATTTGTCAAGGAGTGTGAAAGGCACTTCCTTAATCAAAAGATATATGTTAAACATATTTCTGTATCTGTCTCTGTGCTGTACTCTGTAGTGTGAACACTGTACTGAACATTGTGTATACACCATATACAAAAATGTGTAAGATATGAATGACTATGAGAATTTTGTAGTTTAGTGGAAGAAAGTAAATTATTGTTTATGAATCAATTAGCCAATCATATAAGACAGTATATGATTACATACTATCACAAATAAACAGATATCACTTTGCATTCAGGTTCAGAGACTGTCCAAAGCACGTTTTTTTATTTTTGAGACTGAGTCTCGCTCTGTAGCCCAGGCTGGAGTGCAATGGTGCAACCTCGGCTCAGTGCAACCCCTGCCTCCTGGGTTTAAGCGATTCTCCAGCTTCAGCCTCCCGAGTAGCTGGGATTACTGGCACAGGCCACTACGCCCAGCTAATTTTTGTATTTTTAGTAGAGGCGGGGTTTCACCATGTTGGTCAGGCTGGTCTTGAACTCCTGACCTTAGATGATCCACCTGCCTCAGCCTCCCAAAGTGCTGGGAGTACAGGCGTGAGTCACCCACTGCTGCTATAGTAACTGAGTAATTTATAAAGAGCTGAGATTTATTTTCTCACACTTTTGGAGGCTAGAAGTTCAATACCAAGGTGCCAATAGGTTTGGTGTCTGGTAAGGGCCTGCTCTCTCTGCTTCCAAATGGTGCCTTGTTTCTGTGTCCTCCAGAGGGCACAAACACTGTCCTTACATGGCAGAAGGGATGGAGAGGCAAAATAAACTAGCTAGTTCCCTCCTGCCCCTTTATAAGGTTACTTATTCCATTCATGAGAGCTCTGCCCTTATGATTTAATCATCTCCTAAAGGCCCCATCTTTTAATGCTGTTGCATTAGGGAATAAGTTTCAACATGAATTTTGGAAGGCACAAACAGTCAAACCATAGTACTCACCATTTGCCAAGCTGTACTCATCATTGTCTTCCCCGCTCCCATCCTAAGTGCTCTCCTGCCCCTGTGCTCCTCATCTCAGAGGATGGGCTGTCCTCCATCCAGGTGCTCATCCCAGACTCCTTTTCCCACAGCCCCAGGCCCCAAATCTGTGCCCCAACATCCATCTGCTGCCTTACTTCACCTTATTTCCTTCCATGGCCTCTCAACTACTCTGTCTACCTCCACCTTTGATCCCTTTCTGACCCATGGCCCTCATAGCACCAAGAAAGATTTTTCTGAAATGCAAATAGGGCCAGGCGCAGGGGCTCACGTCTGTAATCCCAATACTTTTGGAGGCCAAAGCGGGTGGATCTCTTGAGGTCAGGACTTCAAGACCAAGCTGGCCAACATGATGAGACTCCTTCTCTACTAAAACTACTAAAATTAGGCGGGTACGGTGACGGGCACCTGTAATCCCAGCTACTCGGGAGGCTGAGGCAGGAGAATCGCTTGAACTTGGGAGATGGAGGTTGCAGTGAGCCATAATTGTGCCACTACACTCCAGCCTGGGCAACAGAGTGAGACTCTGTTTCAAAAATAAATAAATAAATAAAATGCAAATCTGATTATGTCTGTCTGTCTGTCTCTCTCTCTCTCTCTCTCTCTCACACACACACACACCCCCATACCCACACGCCTACACACCCTGAAGAACCTCTCCTTTACCTTTCAGAGAAACATCCACACGGCTGGTAGCAGGTAAGGATCATTCCTGATCTGGCCCCTGCCAACCTACACAGCCTTCCCCTCTGCTCAAGCTAAGCCAAACTTGCTGTTTCCAAAATGGCTTTTGCCCACCCCTGTGCCTACCCCTTTGTGTTGTCCCCTTTGCTTGGGGTGAAGTCCCTCCTTTTTCTGCCTAGTTAATGCCCGTGTCTTTTAAGACCCAAGCTCAGCTATTGCCTACTCCAGAAAGCCTCCCCGATTTTCATCCAATGATTTTCATCTCTCTCATTGTTACATCTTGACAACACTGAGCCATCTCTTCCTCTGTCACATTTATCACATTGCACTATAAGTTTTCTTTTTTCTTTTTTCTTTTTTTAGATGGAGTCTCGCTCTGTAGCTCAGGCTGGAGTGCAGTGGTGTGATATCAGCTCCCTGCAACTTCTGCCTCCCGGGTCCTGGTTGAGCAATTATTCTGCCTCAGCTTCCCAAGTAGTTGGCGCGTGCCACCACGCCCAGCTAATTTTGGTATTTTTAGTACAGATGAGGTTTCACCATGTTGGCTAGGCTGGTCTTGAACTCCTGACCTCGTGATGTGCCTGCCTCATGTTTTCTTTTTTATTAATTAAAAGCAATTTTTAGTCATTTGTTTTTTTATTTGTCTAACTTCCACACTAGCATATTTACCTGCTTATCTCCAGTGCCAAGCTCATCCCCCAGCACCTAGTAGATACACAATAGATGTTTGCTGAGTGAGTGTTGAATGAATAGAAGGTACCAGAAGACCTTGGCCAGTGGCAGAAAGAGAAGTTAGGCCATTATTATAGTGACTCAGGAGAGAGGTGCCAAGGGTGGAGACCAAGGCTGGGACAGCAGAGCTGTGGAACCAGTGGGGTTTATATAGACATTTCCTTGAAACTTGCAACATAGACATAAAGCAAACGAGTAAAACTGTGTGGTTCAGGGCCGTATTTTTAGATGATTCAGGTGAGTACCCCATGGGTAGTGGCTGCTCTGAAGGCTGCCCTGTGAACTGAGCAGAGGTGAGGTTTCATTGGTGCAGACGGGGAAGTATGAGTGCAACCATCCACCAGACAACACATTGCCTCCCTCCTGGGCCCTCCAGCCAGGTTCTAGGGTGCACTGAGAGTTTTGTGTATCAGGAGTCACACAGGGTTGGGAGAATGGTGGGGAATAAAATATAAGGATATTTGGGATGAATCTGGAAAACCTGATGCTAAGTGAAGTAAGCCAGATACCAAAGGACAAATGCTGTATGATTCCGTTTATATGAGACACCTAGAGCAGGCATATTCATAGAGACAGCAAGAAAAATGGTTAGTAGGGACTGGGGGAAGAGGGGAACGGGGAGTTGATGTTTATAATGGGTACATAGTTTTTGGTGGGGATGATGAAAAAGTTCTGGAGATGGCCGGGCATGGTGGCTCATGCCTGCAATCCCAGCACTTTGGGAGGCTGAGGCAGGAGGATCACTTGTGGTCAGCGGCTCAAGACCAGCCTGGCCAACATGGTGAAACCCTGTCTCTACTAAAAATACAAAAATTAGCTGGGCATGCTGGTGCATGCTTGTAATCCCAGCTACTTGGGAGGCTAAGGCAGGAGAATCGCTTGATCCTGGGAGGCAGAGGTTGCAGTGATCCAAGATCGTGCCACTGCACTCCAGCCTGGGTGACAGAGCAAGACTCTGTCGAGAGAGGGAGAGAGAGACAGAGAGAGAGAGAAAGGAAGTTCTGGAGATGAATAGCGATATGCTTGCACGACAACGTAGTGAATGTACTTAATGTCACTGAATTGCACCTTCAAAAAGGGCTAAAGTGGTGAATTTCACATTCTGTATGTTTTACTGTATTTGGAGTTGATCCAGTGAGTGAAGAGGAGAGGACAGGAGAGAGGCCAGTGGCAGTCTGTCTGTGCTCTGCCTGGCTGGACAGGACCCGTTCCGGTCACCTCAGAGAGAGGCCAGGTCAGGCTTCCAACAAATTATCCCCCATTGGACATTCATCGGCCAGAGGACAGCCCTGTATTCTCCTCATGTGTGACTGTGCCCCTTCCTTTGCCCCACAACAGAGGTAGCTAGCCAGTGTAGTGAATGAACAGGAGAGAGGTTTGCTCAGGAGTCCTCTGAATTGGGCGCCAGTAAGAAGGAGATACAGGCTGTGGAGGAACATTTGCACTGGGGCCCAGCCTACCCCAGCCTTGGGTCCTCCATTATCAACATGCCCTCAAGGGATCAGCTTGGGCACCAGCTTCCTGCTGCCTGCCATGGGTTGACCTCTAGAGCTCAGGTGTAACCTAGGTTGCAGCTGGAGGTCTGCCCACTGGGCCTTCACTTGCACAATGGTCGCTTATTATTAAGGCATTTTGGCCTTGGGCAGAGAAGACAGTAAGTCTTGCCTGGCTCCATAAACCTCTACCCATTCCATGCCTGCTGGCCAAACCCTATGACTTGGGACAAGGCTAGGCCATACCTAGGGAGCAAATCAGGGAAATTTCTAAGGGCTTGGAAGGAAAGAGTCGGGGGGCAGGGGATGTCAGGGTTGATTCCAAGCCCTTGAGGAGCCATGAGAGTTTTCTGACTTCAGAGAAGCAGACTCCCCAGATGGGAGCTTCATTCACACCATCATTATTCCCAATACATACAGGAGCCTCTGAATTCCCACAAACTTACATCAACAGGAGCACTCTTTTTGCCACTTTAAAACAAAGCTGAAACTGGAATAGCAGAATTGGAAGCTACTGAGGAGAGTCCCAGGCCAGTGATACATTCATTTCCCAATGAGGTGGTCATGTCTAGCTAGTTAGGTCAGAGCAGGGACTAGACCCCATGTCTCTTGACTTCCAGCCTATTGCCTGTCCACACACCATCATTGCTCTTAACTCTCCTATTTATACATAGTGGCTTGGGGGATCTGTCTAAGGCTACCTCTGCCATCTTGTCATGTGTCTTCATGATTTTCTTCCTGCAGGAGGTGCTCTGGTAAAACAAGTATAAAATGAACGTCAGGATGTTGTCCCTCATGGTGGGCATCTTCTCTGTCCTCAATACCATCCAGTTCTTCATCTTTGACGTGAACCACATGACACACATTGGCTATGAGGCCAAGTTCCACATCTACATGGACTCAAAGTCAGAGCTAGTCACTTGGATCCTGTCCAACAGGGCTAACATCAGCACTGGCCTCTCCTTCACCACCATCATCATCAGCTGCTTCCTCCTTTATAGTATCCACAAGAATATCTACACGGGGCTGCTGATCTATGCCATGTGGATCATCACTTACGAGTGCATCAAATTCTCCATAGTCCTGGTCCTCAACAGGATCATTGAAGATTTCTTCAAGGAGCTGAGTTACTTGCACTGGATCTTCCAGATCTCGCACATGCTCCTGCACTTTTTCTGTCTGCCCTTCATCGTCAAGCATGCACACAACCTTTACAAGGAATCCCAGACTGTGAGCAGGAAACGCCGCCACATGCTCTCCTCCACCACTGCAGTGAACTCATGACCACCTGTCTGTCTGGGAATGTTGTACCGGAAATTAAACTGAACCATGCCAGGAAAGGTGGGAGGGAATGGTGCTCCTCAACAATGGAATCTCCCCACCCTGCCTGGCTTCTGTTGATGCTGCTTGGTTTGTCAGGGCTTTTGAGTTTTATGCACTGAGGAATGATTCTCGGGAGAGGGCAGGTTGTGCGGATCAATTATTTTACAGATGTGTTGTGTGACTTGTTTTAGCAGTTAATGATATGTGGCCTTGTGCTTACTTAACCATCTCACTGGTGTCTGTTTTTGCCTCTCACAGTCTCCTCTGCTCTGCATATCCTTAGTTTCTAGTTCTTCCTTTATGGATTGGCCCACAGATGCCGGTTCTGCTGAGTCCTTTGGAGCAGTGTTGTCCAATAGAGCTTCCTGTGCTGATGGGAATGTTCTCTATCTGTGCTGGCCACTAGCCATGTGTGGCAACTGAGCACTTGGAATGTGGCTATTACAACCCAGTAACCAAATTTTAAATTTTATTCTTTTTTAGCTAATTTCCATTTCAATAACTATGTATGGATGGCTCAAGACTAGCCTATCCTCCCAGATGGTGGCTCACGCCTGTAATCCCAGCACTTTGGGAGGCCAAGGCAGGTGGATCACTTGAGGTCAGGAGTTCAAGACCAGACTGGCCAGCATGGTGAAACCCCGTCTCTACCAAAAATATAAAAATTAGCCGGGCGTGGTGGTGGGTGCCGGAAATCCCAGCTACTCAGGAGGCTGAGGCAGGAGAATCACTTGAACACAGGAGGCAGAGGTTGCAGTGAGCTGAGGCCACGCCATTGCAGTCCAGCCTGGGTAAGAAGAATGAAACTCCGTCTCAAAAAAAAAAAAAAAAAAAAAAAAAGGCTACCCTATTGGACAGCACAGCCTCTGGAGATTCACTTTACTCCTGCAGTAACCATAGAAAAGACCCCTTTCTAGAATCATGTCTTACCCTGCTTCCCTCATACTTTTCAGAAAGCAATTTCTCATGTTGGTTCATAATAACATGGCAAGAAGGATCCCCATTTAAGATAGTGCCAGGATTTTTCAACTGAAGCACTACTGACATTCTGGACTGGATAATTCTGTCCTGCAGGGGCTGTCCTTTGCACTGTAGAATGTTTAGCAGCATCCTTGGCCTCTACCCACTATTTTCCAGTAGCATCCACCTGTTCCTCATTGCTGTCATGACCAAAAATATCTCCAAGGGATTAAGCCCACCCATCCCCTCCTGGGCTGGTGGATTATGTAGTTTTCAAGTCAGATAATAAAACAGGATCGCTGTCTAAGGCTACCTCTGCCATCTTGTCATGTGT